CCTCCGGGAGACCGCTATAGATCCGCCTATGTTTGAGAGGCGTATGTAGCCCGAGTGGTAGCACATATGAACAGCATCTACATGTTGGTGAACTGACTTCATTATTTTTTCAAAAACAAGTCAAAACGAACCCTCCACATTTCAGTCCAAGTGCAATGAGAGCTGATTTTAAACGATCCAGTCCCAGAGCTTCCAAATCAGCAGCCGATTCGAATGAGGAGAGATCCAGGAAAGCACCGGAATGCGCCAGAGCACCATGCTGATCGCGACTCCAACCACTCAGTGTTCCTGAATTATTTCCAATCTTTAGATTTTCAACGAAATCTGTCAAAAATAAAAAGAAAAAAATCATAAATAATTGAAAACTTCCACAATTTTCACTGGAAAACCCTCTTCGTATCCAATTTCTGTGAAAGGTATGGGCATTCGAAAGTAGCCCAAACAGTACCAAGCACCAATTGCAACCACTCACTGGCAAGACCTTCAAATTACCCTTCAAACTACCCTTAGACTTACTTTCCTTACCCAACGAGGTTTTTGCTGCCTCACAGGCCTCCAAGACTTCCCAATGATCCTTTTATTTCCGTCCTATTTTCAAATCGATTTTATTTATTGTGTTGCAAAATGTTTGTGTACTTGGCATGGCGATTTTCTGATAGATGCCAGTATCAATTTACACGCACTGTGACCGTCATACTGACGAGGTCCTGTCGTGCGGTGTTGAGTTAAGACGTATATGACTTAATGGACCGAAATGTCTTATCTCATTCTTACCTTCTTTCCTCATACTGTTCTCCCATGTTGTAATCTATCGCGCTTTCGCCATTTATGCTTCCAGAGTTAAATTAGTTACTAAAATCGGCCTAACATCGCAAAAAATAAATGAATTATAGAAAGACTCGTTATTCGAATGCATGATCCTTGGTACACGACGGCGTCACTTGCCACTATATTATGCTCGTGATATTCGAATGAAATTACTAAGATGCTACTTTATTCTACAAATTACTACTCATCATCTATAATACTTTCTACTTCTACTAACATAAACTTTTTAATTTTACTAGTATACTTTATACTTTGTATAATTAACTTTGTATAATTAATACTTTAATTAGTATAATTCATATAATCAAACTTAATTTGCACCAGTTACAATTGCCATAATCGTCGTATTGACGAGGTCCAATTGTGGTAATGGTAAGAACTGTATACAACTTAATAGGCCGGAAGATTTCTTGCCACTATAAAAATTTTATTAAAATAATTTTCTAAAATAATTTTGCTAATTTCTTAATTCTTATTCGGAATTTTCTCTTCGATTTTCCTTCTTATTTCAAAACCTTTCCTGTACTAGATTTAAAAAATTCAACGAACCTTCTTCCCATTTTTTGTCAAAATCAACAAGAGATTTCTCGAATTCCTCGTTCACATCAAGCAGCGGTCGAGTTCGCGCAAGGAAATTGATCAGGTATTCTTTTAAAACATTCAGATATTCACGATAGCTGCCTGTTTTCTTCGAACTTATTGGAATTTCGGCGAAACGATCGAAATTGCTTAGAAATGTCAGATAGTCAACTTTCTGGAACAAGGAAAAAACATTCATTAAAACTTCAATAACCTGCTGATATCAAGTAAACTTTAACCTTGACGGCAAGCATACATAGCATACTAGCACATGTCTTCTATTGCAAAATTTGCAATAATTCGAAATGGAGGTAAAAACCATTATACCACTGCACATTCATAAGCTGAGAGCTCTCAGTTTTACCTAAGCATCAGTTTCATCCTATTCGAAAATTCACTCTTTCTGCTTTCTTTACTAATTAATATGACCGGCAGCGATTGGTGTAAAGTGGTAAAAACCACAATACCACTGCACATTCATAAGCTGAGAGCTCTCAGTTTTACCTAAGCATCAGTTTCACCCTATTCGGAAATTCATTCTTTCTGCTTTCTTTATTAATTAATGTGACCGGTAGCGAATGGGGTGAGGTTTGGTATTGCTCAATGCACAAATAAAAAGACATCTCGAAAAGGTACCAGTTATATTAGTGATGCAAAAAGCTGAAAAAAGCAAGTGTAATTTCTGGAAAACGACAACCTTAATTCCTTTAATATTGACGTATTTCTCATAAACTGCATGCATGTCCAAAAAACGCCCATAGCTCTCCTCGTCGGTGAAGTCAATCAATTCTTGCTCGGCCAATTCGAGATTTTCAATTGCTTCGTTCATTTTTTGAAATTCCAGACTCAGTGGTACCGCGATCTGGAAGAATTACACATTGTTGAAGCAACCGTGTCATCTTTGCCACATGAACAGCCCAGCTTCTCTCCCTGCTTATGATCTCGGTACTCTGGCGACGCCTTTGTTCGTCATTTTCATTGGTACTATTGCCCTTACTCGGCGATTTCCATTAAGTCGTCCACCTTTGCCCGTCTTTTTTCTCCTTTAGCTGCCACTGCTTCATTACCAAGAATACCAAGATCGTCCGAGTTATCAGTGTGGGTACCCACTGTTATTGATGCAGGAGGAAGGGCATCAGTTGGGATGAAAATGGTGCATTATAGAGCCGCACGGACATCCAGGTGCATGATTACCGGTTTTAACAAAGGATGCTCTCACATGCCGACTGCAACTATGTCAGCCCCTCCAATTCTGGGTAAACTGCTTTTGAAAAAGAGCCCATCTGACTTTTTCGTCGATAAAATAATGAAA